CGGACCAGTTCCAGAGCAATCACATGGACATGGTGAAGTTAGCATCACCCGAGGAAATTGCTTCACTTCCCAAAACATCCTAGAATATTCATCAGCCCGGTGAGGATGAGGTTCGGGAGGAGTCCTTGTCAACAGGCGACCTGGACCTCATCTTCATGCCAGGTCTCGGGTTCCATGAGCAAGGCAACCGGCTGGGGCAGGCCAGGGCTACTATGACGCCTCCCTGAGGCGCTGTGAACAGCACCAGCAGGCGAAGCCCTACAACATGGCCTTAGTGTTCAAGGAGCAGATTTGCATCCAGGTCCCAGTGGACAAACATGACGTGAAGGGAGATGAAGTCCTCTAGGAAGACACCTCCTAAGTCCAGCTCCGCAGCCAGATGCTTGGGGTCCATACCTGAGAGAGATGCACACAAATGATGTGCATGTCCCTTCAGGGCTTAGTCAAAATTACACACCAGTGGGAACATGGGCTACATTGTTGTAATAATTATAAGATACTTAACCAAAAACCACCATTAAAAATTAATAAAGCTGCCCTAGCCGGTTTGCCCTAGTGCAGTGGTCAGTAAACTGAGGCTCGGCAAACCGCAGCTCGCGAGCCACATGCAGCTCTTTGGCCCCTTGAGTGTGGCTCTTCCACAAAATACTGGCTCTTCCACAAAATACCGACTTCTGTGCATGGGACACGAAGTTTCAATCACACTGTACATGCGCGCCTGCACGTGGTATTTTGTGGAAGAGCTACACTGAAGGGGCCAAAGAGCCGCATGTGGCTTGTGAGCTGCGGTTTACCAACCACGCCCTAGTGTATAGAGCATTGGCCTGTGGACTGAAGGGTCCCAGGATCGATTCCTGCTCCGGGCACATGCCTGGGTTACAGGCTTGATCCTCAGTGTGGGGCCTGCAGGAGGCAGCCAATCCGTGATTCTCTCTCATCATTGATGTTTTTATCTCTCTCGCCCTCCCTCTCTGAAATCAATAAAAAATATTTTTTAAAAAATTATAAAACAAAAAAAGAGAGGCTGAGAGGGGGCTGCTTTGTCCTCTAGAAATGTTATAGTAAAGAAGTGAGGGAAAACTCACATGAGAGAACCCTGATAGCCATGGACCTAAGGTGGAGACCGCATAAAGATTCGTAGGAGGGGCAGAGGCATGAAAGGGTTAGCCGGGCACCCAGATACAGCAACTGAAGTCCTGGAGAGAGATCTCAGGTGGGGATGGGGGGAAAGGGGGAGGCACTGAGAACTCTGGGATCTAATCCCGAGGCTGGGCTCCCCAGCAGAGAGCACCAAACTGAGGAGGGTATCCACATAACATCTAACTGAAGAGCAGTGGGGTGCTGTCTGCCAGGGAGTGGCAACTGAAAGTTTGGGCACCCTCGTAAAGGGCCAACCCACAAAAATTCCCAGTGGAGCCACCAACCTTGTCCTCTGGCAGAGGGAGGGTGAAATGGACTGGAGAAGTGAGAGCAGAACCTTGGACTGGGGATTCGGGGGATAGAACTCAGAAGGCAGACACCCCAGGTTTCCTGGGCTGAGTCATTCCCTCACACAGTGAAAGACATTTTTCCCACACAGACACTTGCCTTGCCTAGAGGGGAAGACAGTCGACATACCCTATTTAAAAATACCTTGCCCTGAGGCCTCTTAAGAGATTAAAAGTAACAATTAGCCCAAACTGCTTTGGCTCAGTGGATAGAGCGTTGGCCTGGGGACTGAAGGGTACCAGGTTAGATTCCAGTCAAGGGCATGTACTTTGGTATGGGCACATCCCCAGTAGGGGGTGTGCAGGAGGCAGCTGATCGATGTTTCTCTCTCATCGATGTTTCTAACTCTCCCTCTCCCTTCTTCTTTGTAAAAAACATAAAAAGATATATA